ATAAAACAATATGTATTAGTAGTGTTTTCTCATTAGTGTGTCGGGATTATGGTCATTTTACGATTAGACTCAATTAAAAATATTTTAAATCTCTTATAAACTAATTTGAGAGTGATTATGAGTCATATAAACATCAATTGAGACCGAAATTCATTTTTTTTTTGTGTTCGTTACGAGTGGTATTAAAGACCCAGTATCTGGTACTAAAACACCGAAAGATGGTACTATCTTGCGTTAGGTCCGGTACCAAGTATTACAAATGTTGAGCATAATTGAACAATTTATTTTTGTTGACCAAAAGTTGGTACTAATCTATGAAAAACTGGTACCACGTAGAAGACGATGCGGTACTATATTGGCTAAAACTGGTACTATTTTAAGAATCATGATTTCTCTATTTCTTCATGTCTACCACGACACATGAATCGTTCATGCATAATTTGGATGAAAAATAGTGGAAATTAAAACATATAGGTAGAATTTGTAGTAGTCATGTATGATGATTCTATAAGATGAAGTGTGTTATTCAATGAAATGAAATGTATTAGTAGTATTTTCTCATTAGTATGTCGAGATTATGATCATTTTACAATTAAACTCAATTAAAAATATTTTAAATCTCCTATAAACTAATGTGAGAGTGATTATGATCATATAAGCATCATTTGAGACCGAAATTCTTTTTTTTTTTTGTGTTCGTTACAAGTGGTATTAAAGACCCAGTATCTGGTACTAAAACACCAAAAGATGGAACTATCTTGTGTTAGGTCTGGTACCAATTATTACAAATGTTGAGCACAATTGAACAATTCATTTTTGTGGACCAAAAGTTGGTACTAATCGATGAAAAACTGGTACCACGTAGAAGAAGATGCGGTACTATATTGGCTAAAACAGGTACTATTTTAAGAGTCATGATTTCTCTATTCCTTCATGTCTACCACGACACGTGGATCGTTCATGCATAATTTGGATGAAAAATAGTGGAAATTAAAACATATAGGTAGAATTTGTAGTAGTCATATATGATGATTCTATAAGATGAAGTGTGCTATTCAATGAAATGAAATGTATTAATAGTGTTTTCTCATTAGTGTGTCGAGATTATGGCCATTTTTACGATTAAACTCAATTAAAAGTATTTTAAATCTCCTATATACTAGTGTGAGAGTGATTATGAGTCATATAAACATCATTTGAGACTGACATTCGGTGTTTTTATGTGTTCGTTACAAGGGGTACTAAAGACCCAATATTAGGTACTACAGCAACATAAAAGTGGTATTATCTTACTCTACGACTGGTACTACTTTTGTAAATATTGACCAAAATTGAAATAATCGATTTTCCTTCACAAAAGTAGGTTCTAATCGATCAAAAACAGATACCACGTAGAAGAAGATGCGGTACTATATTGATTAAAACAAGTATTGTTTAAGGAATCGTGATGTTTTTTAATTTTTCATGTCTACCTTTTCACGTGAATCGTTCACGCATGATTTCGATGAAAAATAGTGTAAGTTAAAACATATAGGTACAATTTGGAGTAGTCATGTATGATGATTCTATGAAATGGAGTTTAGTAGTGTTTTCTCATTAGTGTGTCGAGTTCATGACCAATTTGCGATTAAAGTCAATTAAAAACATTTTAAATCTCATAGAAACTAATGTGAGAGTGATCATGGGTCATTTAAACATTATTTGAGACTAAAATTCGATGTTTTCATATGTTCGTTACAACTGGTACTGACGACCCAATATCCGGTACTGAAACACCATAAAATTGGTACTAATGTGAAGAAAATGAGTACTACTACGAATAGAAACTAGTATCAGTTTAAAAACAGAACTTCCTTAAATTAAGTATATTAGTAGTGCTTTTTCATTAGTGTGTTGAGTTCTT